AGGTGAGCCATGTTTCCTCAATTTTTCAAGTTCATTCCCAGTGTTTTTGTTTGATATATTTGTGGGATGTTATGAGATGTGGATGTAAATGAAGGGCAAAACAGAACATTTAAGAGCTGCCAAACCAGACACATGCGGAGGTGGTAGTGTAAAGAGGCAAAACTACAAATAAACAAAAAACCTACAGACCTAACTGCATCATGGTCATGTGTCCTGGTAATATATTTTTGTGTTATCCCCCTTTTAAACTTTTATTGATATTCTTTCCACTCTTCAAAATTTCCTAGGCTTCCCTGCGATTCCTTGTCTTTGCTAGTTGCCTTTTCTTTCTTGTTCTGTAATGCTTAACCTGCCATTAACCTGATGATTGTATACTGCTTGTTCTTTGTTCTTTTTTGTTTTTGGCTGTTCTCTCTCCAACATTCATTCATTTATTCATAATCCATCAGTATGAATGGACGGTAATTGAAAATATGGCGCATGCATTCATCAATAGGATGACCTGTAACAAGGTTTTGAAATTAAAGTGGGCTGTGATGTGAATGAACTGGGAGGTTGTTGTATGGTGTTAGTTCAGCAGGCATTACACACACATGCAGGTAGGAACAGATGATCACCGGAGATAACTCCTTTCTTTATTTTTCTTTTTCTTCTTTCAAATACCACAACCAGAACAACATACTCACTAGCGCCCTCTAGCGCTTCTGGTAAATGCATCTACAGAACAAATGCAATAGTATGTGGACACAACAGAGGTTACTTCAAATGCAACTTTTCAGCAGTTCAACAAACATGACCAAATAGGGCTGGGTATCGTCACTGATTTCTAGAATCGATTCGATTCCAAATCACAACGTCCCAATTTGATTTGATCAACGATTCGATTGAATTCGATTCAATTTTGACTCAGACAGTCAGAAATATTACAATTCAGATCATTTATCAGTACAGACACTTCATCAGAGGTGTAAGCATCACAGCACATGGCTTTGTATCACAGTAACTGAGGATAAAACCAAAAAAATATCATGAAGGAGATTTTCCTGACCTGACTTTTTATAGCAGATAACCTTAAAAATATTCTGCAGTAGAACAAAATTTGGCATAATTTTAAAAAAGTTTAAATTTCTTCGGTATTGAACAGCAGAAATGAGCCTTTCTAGTCGGCAGTCATTGGAAAAAAAAAAAAAAACAGCGGTCAATGTGACAGATTGAAGGACTACTGCATATAAAACTGTTCAGTTAATACTAATTCATATCTGTTGATATAAGGATGCAAATAATGTAAATATGGTAAGAAAGTGGTTAAAAGTTTATTATTTTTCATGTTATATTAATGGCTTTCATGTTATTTAAGAGAACTGCAATCTATACATCAGTGATCGGCTAGTAAGCCTTTTCTGGGATCGATTAGTAGTGTCTCTATTCTCCACTAGGGGGCTTTCGCGCGTTCTCCTCACTGCAATAAACTACTGCATGAGAGACGCAAGTCATAATCACTCTCGTGATTCTTTTCCCCCTGTTTTCAGGTAAAAGTGTTTAAAAGTTGATATATTTCCAATGTGTACACTGTTAAGATATTTAAGAGGTAATCCTTCATTGTTTTGTAAGCGTTAGAAGCATTATATTACAGTTTTGTGCACATATACGTGGCGGTTTTGAGCTGTGTTTTGTACTGTGTAATGGCCATTAAGATAACTGCAGGAGCTAAAAACGCCGCGATTGTCAGCCATTTTGTCAGGAAACCTGCTCAAGTATATGTATAGTAAGCACTTTAGTATTTCGGTTTATTATTTAGTGTTTTTCTTCCACCATGTGACATTTACAGTTTTTCTCAGTCGCTTTGGTGCATTTCTCACAACAGAATTGAACTCTCCACCACTACTAAGGCACTTCTCAAAACAATTAGTGCAAACTGCAAAACATGGTGGATAACTTGCAAAAGTGAGTCACTCCATCAAAAAGAAAAGTCAGGTGTCCAAAATAAGTTGTCAATGCATCAACAACAAATCCCTTGAGCAAAACAGACAATACATTCATCAAAAGCAAGTACTGATACCAAACAAAGTGTCAGGGCTGTCACAATTACAAGTCAGTAGTCCAGCACCTTTGGTCACGAAATCACATGGTCTGAACATGTTCTCATTGTGACGGATGTCTTTGTAGGTGCTTCCCAATGACATGTCAAGTCCGGACCGCATGCATGGCATGTTGAAAACCATAAATTGTAAAGGACAATCAAGACACTCCATATGCACTCTTGATAATATTTAATTTAAACTGTTCACAGCATTGTGCAAACTGGGGAAATACAGTAAATCCAACATTTTACAGCAAACAAACTCACTTAGACAGTAAACCTCACTGCAGTAGTTACGACTCAAAAAAAACAAACTGAAAAACAGACACTGCTGCATATCAATCATTGATATCTAGACGCTCCTGTCTGTTGGTTTACATTACAGTATATATGTACTTGTGGAGTGGGGGATGCTGTGCCGCGGTTCACCTGTGACTGGGTAGGAGAGGCTTTTCATTGGTTGCAAGTAGGAGTGACACACACCAATTTTCATTAGTGTGAGATAAGGTTCACCTGAGACATGTAGTTTATGGAGATTTTCATGGGAACTCCTCCAAAATAGGGTTTTCAAAATGGGTGTATGAATCGTTTGACAAGCTGTTCAGCAATTTTGAGTGCACTGACACAAGCAATGCAATGAAGACTATTAGTTGTAAGGACAATGACTATTCAGCCGGTACAAGTATGAATAATTGTGACATTCATGATGAAAGAAAGGAGATAGTGATGAATAGGAAGTCAAACGTGACCATTCTTTAGATATTTGTACTCACTCAACTGCTTCATGTCCAAAGGCATTTGCCTTTGGACGCAGTGAACGTGAAACCGCCACAGGGTTGTGCCAAAACGACTACATGTTGTGGTGGTTGAACTAACTGTTGTGCAATGTTTAATTCTGTTGTGAGAAATGCACCAAAGCGACTGAGAAAAACTGTAACAGTACAGAATGTGAAACGTTTCTGCTCATTTTCACTGCAATAAACTACTGCATGAGAGACGCAAGTCATAATCACTCTCGTGATTCTTTTCCCCCTGTTTTCAGGGGTGTAACAGCACTGTAAACAACAGTAGACTGGTGGGTAATAAGCAAGCGACAGCAGAGAAATCAGAGGCTGTGGCAAGAAATACAAACCATCACAGACTACAAGCCCACTCCACAGACTGCTGTCAGTTCCACCCCTTTATCAGATGAGCTAAACAAATTCTTTATTTGCTTTGAGGCACAGAACTTCTCCCCTGCAGAGAAGATTCAACCCCCCGCTCCCCGAACAATCAGGTGGTGACACTGTAATAAAACTGTTAGGGGCGCACCACCATTTGGAGATCCACGGCAATGTGTCATGCAGGACGCATCACCCTTCTAGAAGTATTGTGTAAGAGAATAAAGTGTGAAATGGTCTACTGAACAGTGTTTTGTCTTCCATCAGATGCCTCTGAGGGATCAGAAGAACTCGATGAAGTGTTGATATTTAACACTACTCAGTTATTAGTTCTCACATCCTGATATATTTTATAGGGGTGCAACGATACTCGTATCGATATTGAACCGTTCGATACAGTGCTTTCGGTTCGGTACGCATATGTATCGAACAATACAAATTTTTAATTTATTTTATCAACTTTCCTTCTGACGATGCTGTCTGTGTTGAGCGCTCAGTGGATCTGCGCTCGACAGTGCAGCCTAGGCGGAGTAGTCGAACGCAGATTCACTGAGCGCAGGGCAAGCTAGCGAGACAGAAGTTAAGCTCTCCTTGCAACATGGCAAATTGAACCTCCCCCACCCTCATTCAGATCTGGCGTTTGGAACTATTTTGGTTTTCATGTGACGTATGACCCTGAAGGTAAGCGCGTCATGGACTAAAGTAAAACAGTATGTTGGATGTGCCACGCAATGCTCAATTACATGGGTGGGACTAGTGTGTTAGCGCAGTTAGCTCGTTAACGTGTTGGCCGTCCAGCCCCATGCACGGGGCGTCCGCGGTAGCTCGTTAACGGAGATTTGCCGTGTTGTGGCGTTAACGTCATTTCAACGAGATTATGCTGACAGCACTAGTGGGAACACAACGAATATGACTGCACATTTACCCGACATCATCCTAGTGCAAAGACAAGTGGAAGCAGACAAAAACAACAAGCACGCATGCTACAAACTTTACCCGAGTCATTTAGACAGCCGTTAGCACATGATTCTCCTTATGGGGACCTGATATGTTTAATATGCTGCTGAGAATATAGCCCAGAAGAAGCGTATAGTATAGCTTTTATTTTGGAAAGAGCCATTTCTCTGTAATAAACTCTCTTTTCCAAAGATGAGTGATTTCTCGATCAGATATATATTTTTTTATTACTTTGTTGTTTCAGCAACATTAAATTTAAAAACTGTACTTTTGAGTTAAAATATATATTTATAATTTTAATAAATGACAAATTAAAAAGGCATGAACATTTTTTTGTATCGAAAAAATATCGAACCGTGACACCAAAGTATCGAACCGAACCGAACCGTGAATTTTGTGTATCGTTGCACCCCTAATACTTTAGTAGTCATTTATCTCTATATCACTTTTATTCTACCGACTCTACATTCGTAAGAACTTTCTACTGTATATTTTATTATAATATGACTGAGTTTAAGTTAGCTAAAAATAACTCCAAAGAGATACTTTTTGTTTTATACTTGGATTATATATGAGAGGTAAGGAAGCACTTCTTCAACTTTTGCATCAGTATTTTGTAAATAAAAGATCTGTACTTATTCTTACATTACCAGTGTGTGTACTTTTTCCACCTTTGGTTGTAACATTGTAACACAACAGTAACATACTTAAAATGTGCTTATTGATGATGTCAATTTAATTTTACTGCACTTCATTTGATCTTTTGTATACATAAAGTCACAGTAATTAAAGTTGAAAACACAACAAAAACAATTAGCGAGTGAAAGAATTACATAATGACTGTGCCATAAATAAAACAAAATAAAAAGGTGAACCTCAATGAAGCAATGATTAACATAACAAAAACAAAATTAAGTACATAAGCTGCTGGTAATTGTTCAACAATAACATTAGATATCCAAAATTATATTGATACAGTTTCTCTTTATTTTTTTTTTACTGTGTCTTATTTAGCATTCAAAATCTTCTCTAGTATTTGGTGCAGGGCAAGAAGTAGCTGTTCCTCAGCACACGGTACAGCCTCCCGCTCCACATGGCATACTCAAACATTTGTGGTCCACTGTAGAGGTAGGTGTACCCTGCAGAACAGAGATGCTACATGTTAGTGCTGCATAACAGACCAGAGGTATTTTTAAACATGTTAAAATAGCAATCATTCATTACATGTAAACTCAAAAGATAAAAACAGAAATATCAAAAACAGATATCATTGTCTCGTTTCAGTGGTCTTCAAGCCTGAATTGCTGCTCACCTCCTTGCTGCAGAGCTGCAGTCACTTTGGAGGTCATTCCCAAGAAGGTCTCATCCACCTGTTTGGGGAATCCCTTATCCATCTTCTTTGTGGCCTCATTATAACTGGGAAAAGATAAATGTATTTAGATTCATCTAACATTTGTAATACAACTTGTAAGCTGCTGTATGAAAATCAGTTGCCTAATTTTCTCAGGTCTTAGTGGAACACACCTGTAGTATTCACTGCCTACAAAGAACAGAGTCTTCCCACTTTGTTCGTCATAGAGGGCCGCATCAACTCTCTTCACTGTTTTGGGCAGACCAAAGCTGGATATTGGTTTAGGATAGCCACTTACAAGATCATAGCCGCTGAAAGCCCACACCTTCTGATCTGTGAACAAATAAGAAGTAGACTTTATAGTAAAGCTATGTAAAGGCACAAAAATGCTGACTTCAAAGGAGCGCTGCATTAGGTGGACACTGAGAAAGCATACCTTTAAAAAGTAAGACACGGTCTAATTGTTGGCTCTCATAAGCAGCATCAATATTAACAGGGGCATCGGGCCAGTTAGCTGAGATGAGAGTTTGTACAGGTGTGCTGATCTGAGGGTGTTTGCGCCAGACTAATCTGTGAACACATGCACAAAATGTAAATTAATGTAAATGACCAATCAGCCAATGTCAGAAGCCAGCTCTGCTATGAGAGATTTCTCACTCAGGTATTCAAGCATTTATTTTGTGATACCTGTCCTTGAAGAAGAGCATCTCTCCTCGCATTGTGGCAACAGCATCCAAAACCATCGTTGAATCACAGGCATCAGGAGTAGTGGGGGCTGTAGGTCCAGGATTAACGGGACCTGGACCTGGAGGTAATTTAATAAATATCACACTGTTGTAAGTTGTAAAATTATTTATGCACAGGTTCTTCTAAGATTTTGGTCAACTCAAATATTTTTAATTGAATAAAACCAAAAAAAGAAATTAGCACTCACCATAGAGGGACTGGATGCCATTAACGTCATCCCGGGGAAGAACATAGGTGTCAGAGTTACTGTATGAGTACACTGGGTACATGAGAGCACCGGGGTCATTGGAGTGAGACAAGCCCAGAGAGTGACCAAATTCATGGGCAGCAACCATAAAGAGGACGTAGCCTGAAGTAGAAAAGACAGAATGACAATTGGTTACAGCTAAGGATAACTCGGGTCGCACACTACTGTAGTCACTACACTACAGAGTAATAATTTGGACACCACAGTTCATAAAAGTAAACAAACTTACCTGTGTTTGAGCGGAACGTGAACGTTTCATCTTCATCAAAATGGGCATCCCCTCCAATGCCATCACCGGGAGCAAATGCGTGGGCAAGAATTTCATTAGGGCCATCAAAGGGGTAACCATCACCATGTGCTGTTAGAAGATAGTGTTATTAGACTTGGCCAAACAAAATTAAAAAAAACACTAAAAAATATAGGTGAGATGGTGAGACAGGTGGGATGGTCATGTCTTGTGCAATAATACAATAAAAACGTTCAGTGATTATATTACTTAGTGTGTTTTTAGACTCACCCCGGCGACCAAAGGAGATCCTAATATCAGCAATGCCGCTGTAGATCCTTGTGAACCTCAGTGGAGTGACTTTGGCCCACACCTGCAGAGCTTTGTCTATGGAGTCATCCACCTCTGCCACAGACATGTCAGGTGTGTATTTCTCTATCCTGCAGAGCACAGCAATATCCAAGAAAATCATTAGTGTGGTCACATTTTCTCATGTTGTGTGTTATGTTGTGTCTTTAGATCATTCACCTGTATGTGAGGCTGTTTTTCTCCCATTTGAGGTTGTTATCAAAAGTGGAGAAACGAGCGACCTGTTCATCGGGAACCCCACAGCGGGGCTTCTTCATCATGGCCAAAGTGTCAGCATCCAGAGACCCGGTGATCTGGAGACCAAAGAATCTCTGCATCTCAGCCAGCTTCTTGTTCACTGGGCTGATGCCCCTTCTGACAGCTGGACCCTCCTCCTCTGTGAGGTTGAAGAATTTCTTCAGGTAGTTCTGGAAGAGAGAAATATTCAGAGCTTTACACTCAAATATCTGTCAGCATGTTTAAGCTCAAGAAACAAGACAAATAACAACATGGGATGGACAATTAAAATAATCACAACCTTTGTCCACTCTAGCCTATGCCAAAAAATAAAAAACAGCCAAGTACACATACCTTTGCAAAACTTTCATCTTGCCCAGTAATCTGAGATAGTGGCATGCAGTAAACTGCCACTGCCAGGCCAAGCAGAATGCTCAGAGTCAAAGTCTTCATGCTTCCTCGTTGTGTGCAACTTGTGTCTCAGTGCTGTGAGAAGCTGTTATATAGGCTGGAGTTTGGATGTGTTGAGTAACTACCTGCCGTCAGTGACTAACGAAATGCTCCTTTTATGGTGAAGAGGGGAACTCTGGCTTTGATTGCTCATGACGGTGTTACATGTACAAAAAACCCAAAACACTGATGTTGAATCATTGTTGCAGTTTGCAGAGGAAATTGTTCATGAGATAATTAGAACAGCCCCAACATCTTATTGTAATTTAATAATAATAATAATAATAATAATAATAATAATAATAATAATAATAATAATAATAATAATAATAATAATAATAATAAGTGGATTTATATAGTGCTTTTCAAGGCACCCAAAGCGCTTTACAATGCCACTATTTTCCCTCTTTATGAAAGTTCTAGAAATAAAATGTAAAACTATTCCTATTTTCAAGCTCTCAAACAAAGAAAACAAGCGTCCATTTTTCCTTTTCCAGAATTGACCTCATAGCTGATTTAAAGCAGATTTAATCACATATTTGAAGATTTTCTTTGTGTGTTTTTTCCACAATTATTATTATTGTTGTTGTTGTTGATTCACTTCATTTTAATATAGGGTTCAAAGCTGGTTTCCTTCTTTTAGCTTAGCTGTTATTATTTAAAACTTAGTTTCTAGTTTTCTTTCATATTTTCTCAGTGGTATTTGGTATCTGGACTTAATAATCTCAGAACAGTTCTTGTCTCATTAAACACTTTCACCTGTGTTTTCTTGTAATGGATGTGTTAACATAAATTTAATATTCTGTCAAACACTGCATTGAGGAATTGGAAGGTTTTTTTCCACTATGAACACTTTGGTTTTTGCACGATCCAACATGATTCCAAATGAAAAGAAGTATTTTGCCAGGAATTGGTCAT